ATCACCTCCTTATTCACTGGACTTAGCTCCAAATGATTTTTTGGTTTTTTCCAAAAATCAAATTCACCATAAGAGGGTGAAGATTTCCAGAACTGAGTGTGTGTGAGAGGGTTAGCCTCTGTGTGTGTGTGTGTGTGTGTGTGTAGTTTAATGTCTAAAATGTTAATTTCAGAAGCATCTTGAGCCATGGCAGCATTACCGAAATGTACATATGGAGACGGCCTCGAAGGTCATCTCCTTGTTAGAGGCCTCTTTGCTGATGCCTGTGCAATAAAAACAAAGTCACCTCCTTTCCCCAGAGTCAAACCCTCACACCTGACAAAGGCCCCCCTCAGTCCTGCCATTCAGCAGCCCTGGCTTCTTCTCAGTTGCATTTACAGGAGGCTGAAGGAACATGCGGTGGAGGAGATGGACAGGAAGGCTGCTTAGACTCCTAAAGGCTTCAATTGGCAATAATTATCTTTACTGAGTTAAAGCAATAGCATCTACCTTGGGCCATTTAAACATCTGCCCTCTTAACTGACACTGATTTGCATTGCAACCTCTATGTGTAGATCCTGGGGTTCAGGTTCATAATCACCCCAAACCTGAGGCCTTTCCATAAGCGGCGTTAGTTCTCTGTCTTCCTCCTGCTCTTCCCACATTTCTCCTGTGTTCTGGGCAGCCTCCATCATGTCCTTGGGCCCAATATTTCACTTGCATACTGTCCCAAGAGTCCAAGCAAAAAAAAAAAAAATTCTAAATGCTACTAAAACCTTTGACAAAGATAAGGTTGGCATGATTTCAAGACGTTTGACTGAATAATCCACATGAGTGTCCTAATCGATTAGTGGCAGGCATGGTTTGTGAGCAGATCAAGTAAAAACCTCAACCGTGAAAACAGGTGTACTGGCTGTCATCATGACCTTTTGAAGGACCCCAAAAACTCATCAGAAATCATTAGGAAACTGTGAGCTGAAGTTACAACTCCTTCTCAAGAGAATGGCCTCGGCTGCCAAAGGAAACGGGAGCGCCAGATGGCCCTTGGGACCTTCTAGCAGTGTGCGTACTACGGTAGAATGTCTCAGCCTTCAAATCTTGCAATTTTCAAATATGCCCTTGTTTAGTCTTTGAGGCATGGACCAAAAAGCCTATATGGAACTGTGAAAAGTGTTTCCACACAATTCCAAATGAACTAAAAATAAAATGAAAAATAAATTTTAACTACAAGAAAATAAGAGAAATATCTAACCATGGCAAACAAACATGAACAAGGATATGGACAAACATTAAATACAAATTGCAATGGGCATTAAAAAGTTTACCTCATACAACTGAAAATGCAAATCCAATTCAGAAGAAATTACCATTTTGCGTGTAAAAATGGCAAAACGTTTTTGAACACAATAGTTAGAATTCAGTTAAACTGTTGGTGGCTAAATAAGCAAGTATAACCATTCTGAAAACAGTATGTGTCAAAAATCTGTAGGATCCATACACTTATTTCAAACAAAACCACTGCTAGAATTTTTCCCTGAAGAAATAATTCCTTAGATATGAACAAAGATGTACGCCAAGATACTCACCACATTTGTCATTATATCTGGAAAAAAGTGAAAACAATTCAAATGTTTAATTATGGGGGCATGTTAAATGCATTAGAGAACACCCACGGAACAAAATATTATGCCAACATGGAAAATGGTACTTTTGAAGAATTTTTAACACTCAACACATCAAGTTAGGTTATATACAGTATTCAAGACCCTGGTTTTTTGTATTATTTCAATTTGGTTTTAAAAGTAGTAGACATACTAAGAGACAGAAAGAAAATATGCCAAAATATTAATTATCATTATCACAGATAGTTTTGTTTTGCTCTTTTATTATTTTACAGATTTTCAACAATGAATATGTACTACTTTTATAATCATAAAACCCACCAAATTAAAATAAAAACCTATTATTGTGTTTAAAACTGTAAGATATAGAAATCTTATCAGTATTACTTTTTATAAATTTTTCAGGGTCTTCAGACATTTTTTAGGTCACTACAGTTTTTGATGTGATGTTATTTTCTATGATAGGCTATACATTGCATTTTAATACAAAATGCAGAAACTATAACAAGAATATAATTGTATCAAAATTTGATTTTCCCACAATGGGATGAGAAATCAGCTGTAGACACGATTTCTTAGAGGCAAAGCTAGTTTTCCTGGAACAACTGCCTTCTTGCGGCCTTTCTGGCATGGAGAAAGAGCTTCTGTACGGAGCACCCCTGGGCTGACTCTCCACCCTCAGTGTGACACTGACCGTGGGGCAGGTGCAGGTCAAATCACTCTCCTGATTGCAGCTGTTCACTTCTGTTCTGGAACTTCCTTTCATTAGAACTGAATACGACGGGTCACATAGCCATTTGCAAGTCCTTTCCCAACTCAGACTTGGAAGGTTCCCAATTTTTCTAAGGTAGGGAAGTCCTATGGTAGTACGCAGATCTACTCTCACCTCTTCCAGGACACTGTCCCCCAGCGCTCCCACCCCATTTTTGTCCTTGTTCCTTTGGTAGTATTATTTTCCTCTTGCTGATGTGTCAATATGCTTTTGCTCCCATGGGTTTCTGCATATGACTTTTGTGTTTCATCCCACAACACGAGCTTCTGAAGCTGCTTCCTTGTTTCTCCTTCGTTTAGATACAGTATTTATGATGCTGAGGACCTGGCCCTACATATGGTAAATTTGCAATCAATGGTTAATTATTGATAATATTTTTTCAGGATTCCCTCTGTCATTCACATTTTCTCAAAATTGCATGAGTACTTATTCAAGCAAGGGCTAAGACCTGCCTTCCTTACCTGCACTTGCGCACTGCGTTCGTGGTAGGTGTTTTGATGGGCAGCTGCAGGTCCTTCGTGTAGGCTGCACTGAGAGTCAGGGTGTCACCATCACAGGTTAGGGAATCAGACAAGGTTCCTGGCAAACAGTAACCATGTTCCGCTCCTTATTGATCACAAGCCAAAACCTGCCATCTTCAAAACACAGGATATGTGTGGGCCACTATGACAGGCAGCCAGTCTTTGTGGGAGCTTCAATTACATACCAACATCTTTGATTTCCTCCCTGTAAGCCTGGTGTGTGTGTCTGACTGTCCTAAACATCAGCAGCACAGCAAGACCCACTCTGTCAGTTCACTTCAAAGGGTTTAATAACCATTCAACCATCCGACATATGATATCTACAGAACATTTTGAGCTCCTTCATGGCAGAGAAATCAAAGATGTTAATTATATTTTTACCTCAATTGCCAGAGAGCCGGATCATTTTCTTGAAACATGCCCCAAGGAGATGACAAGATCTATCTCGCAGGAAGACTTGAGGGGCATGGGAAGCACCGCCTAGAAGGCAATGGGCTCCTGTCGGTGGAAATAACGAGACTATTGCTCACACTGTTCACAGATCGTGGAGTTCGGCTGAGCAGCAAGCAGTGCCACTAACACCGTGCCAATTCCACCCACCACCTTTTAAAAAAGTGTGTTTCAATTTGCAGTGTTATGAATTCTGCAATTTGCTAAAAGGTCTATTGTTAATCAGGACGATATTTTTTCTGGCTCAGTACTCCTGGTCTGAGGTTCTACCTACGGGGAAAAAAATGGAAAAATAAGAGCAGCGAAAAGAATCATTTCCAGGAAAAAAAGAAAAACAACACATTTGTATAGGTTACTTCTCAGCTACCAAGAAAGCAAATCATACGGGCACTTGGTCATGTCAGTACACACTGACCAAATGATAAAATTATAGAAGTGTGTGCTTTTGAGAACTGCCTTTTGTCAGCCCTTCATCCTGCACACAGAAAGCCCGAAATCTTCATCCTGCTCTACCCTGCCCCAAATTCTTGCTACCAGCACATGTATTCTTTCTAGTAATTCTTCCTGGTAATAACGGTGGTCTGATCATCTCAAAATGCAGATCTGATCTTGTCATCACCTCATTCAAAATCTCTTTGTGGTTCCAGCTTTCAGGATAAATCTCTAACTCTTAAGGAAGGCCTGCAAGGCCCTCTATAAGCCTTGTCCAGCAATTCTTACTCCCCATGCCTTCACACATGCCTGTCTTTTATGTATACACATATATATATTGTTGTGGTAAAATATATACAACATAAAATACAGGCATACTCCTAGGTATAGGCCCCAAAGAATTGAAAACAGGGACTCAGGCACATATCTTGTTTATTAATGCTCATTGCAGCATTATTCATAGTGCCAAAAGGTGGAAACAACGTAAGTGTCCATCAATAGAGAATGGAATTTTAAAAATGTGATTTTAACCATTTTTATCATTTTAGCCATTTTGAAGTGCACAATCCAGTGGCATTAAGTACATTCACACTGTTGTGCAACCATCACCACTGTCTGTTTCCAAAACCTTTTCACCATCCCATACAAACTCTTCACCTATTAAGCAATAACTCCTCATTACCCCATCTCCTCAGCCTGTTAACCTCTAATCCACTTTCTGTCTCTGCGAATTTATCTATTCCAGATATTTCATATAGTTGGAACCATACAATATTTGTTGTTTTGTGTCTGGCTTATTTCAATTAGCCTTATGTTTTCAATGTCCATTCATGTTGCAGCATGAGTCAGAACTTCATTCTTTTTTATGGCTGAATAATATTCCATGTGTGTATGTATATACCCAATTTTAATTTTGTTTCTCCGTTCATCCATCATTGTATATTTGGGTTGTTTCCACCTTTTGGCTATTGCAAATAAGGCTGCAGTAAACACTCGACATTCAATGCTGCAAAGAACATGCATCATATTCCAGTCCCTGCTTTCAATTTCTTTTGGCAAATACGTCAGAGTAAGCCAGGCTTTCCCCCAGCATACCCTATCCTCTCAAGCCCAGTGTCTTTGACCAGCTTATTCCCTCTCACTCCAAACACTTGCCTGGAAGGTTCGTAATCATTTTCCAATTTCAGCTCAAGCTATTTCTTCTTCTGTGAAGTCCTTTCTGACCACCCCAGACAGCTTCCAGCTCCTTTCTCTGTGCTCCCTGGCACTTGTCACAACCTCCATCGACTGAGTTATCACCCAAGACTGTAAGCCTCTCTTGGCTACTCTTGATCACACTTTCTGGGAGTGTGTGATGACAAAAACAGAATTTACCATAGGTCTACTACAAATGCCGCGGCCTTCGGCCCGGGGAACAGAGGAGGGAAGCTCCTGAACCCAGTCGGCCCCGCGCCCTGCGCCCGGCTGTGGCTCCGCGCGCGGGGACCGGAGGTGGTGGCACAGCCTGAGCACGGTCTTCGCCCGCTGCCTCCGCCTCTGCGGCTGCAAGACCCGGTGCCCTCCCCCGCGATCGCTGCAGGGACCGGTTTGTTTACGTGTTTGTGGGGTTGTTTATTGGACCTTAAATACAAGATTTGCAGGACTAAGCGCGATTTTGAAATCAGAAATGAGGCAGTAGGCAGCAGCCTCTCTTGAGGACAGAAGGGAGGGCGTCAGCATGGCCTGGACTGTGCGGCGTGTCCCCTGTCCTCCGCCGCGGGCTGCTCGGGGGAGAAGGAGCTTTCGGACCTGAAGGTGGAGGGTGCGACCAGGCCCCGGGCCGGCTGCAGCGCGCGGTCGCCGGGGTGCTCCCGGCCGCGGCTCGGGAGGCGGTGGGCCGGAGAGCGCCCTCTGCAGGCTCGGCCGCTCCGCTCCTCCTGGCGGCTGTGCAGGGCCCTGGTCCATGGTACCGCACGAGGTCCCTGGGCGGCTTCAGGACAGGATGGAATGTCGCCCGACCTGCAGACACTGACCTCAGTCACTTGTCACTTCCTAATCACGTCGTCGTATTTCACACAAGGTCAGCCACCACGGTCAGCGTGATTTAGGAGCCAAGCCCCTTAGCCCTTATTCAAGACTATCACAGTAGGGGAGAGAGATGGGTTTAACTCCGTATGGCAGCTGGGAATTTACAGCCATAGAGCAGGGTGAGGGGCTCAGTGAATGGAAAATGAGTAAGAGGACACAGAGGGTAGCGGAATCCTTGCTAAACCAAGTAGTCAGGATTCCTGCAGAAGGCAAGGCAAGGGCTAACACATCAGAGGGAGAGAGGAGGAGCCTGAGCAGGTATCAAGGATGAGCAGAGGACGATCAGGGTGGGGAAATTCTCTCTAAACCAACAGCAGGGTTCTTGCTAGAACTGGGCTGGGGAGGTTGGGAGCAAGGTCCAGGCCCGGTCAAGAAGAGGGCTCAGAGGAGCCTGGCTGAGGTTTGGTCAAGGAAAGTCTGTCAGGCCCAGCTGAGCCACGGGTCACACTGACCAGGAGTGTACATTTCAGGACTCAGACATACTGTCCACACAGGTGGAGGGGGTCTCGGATCAAAGAAGGGAGAGTCCCAAAAGGGAGAGCCTCTTTCCCCAGCTGGCACCTCACTACAGGGCTCTTCAGCACTCAGGAAGGATCCGACATTCTAGAATGCTGTTCCTCATCTTAAATGTTTAGGTTTGAACAATTACTCGTCCTATTCTTTTCAGTCCTATCGTCTTATTTCATCCCATCTTATCTTTTTTTCTTTTCCGACCACAGGTCTCCGTCACCCTTTCCCCACTCCTGTGAAATCCAGCTATGTTCTCAGTACAGAGGTCAGTGTTTCTCCAGCTGTGGGAGTACATCAGTGAGCCAACTCTTCCAGCAACAGGCTCTGGGGAGAAGGACTTGGGCAAAGCTGGCTTCCCTTGTAGAGTATGCATAAAGCAAATGTACTTCACAGGGCCTGGTTTTCCAAAGCCTTGCAGTTTCAAATATTGACCTTACAAAAAACAGGAAATTCTCCCCAGGCTATATAGTCTCTGTTGTAGGAAAAGGAGTTGTAACACAGCAAGATTGCTGGCTCAAAGACAGACAGGTTACTGATTGATATGTAAAGATACTGGGAAATTGCTGTAAGAAGAGAATGTTTGCTAAAATCAAGCTTTTGTTAGTGGATAGACTTAATTGCATGTTACCAGCTTCTATTGTTAAACTTGTTCAATGGTACTTAGCAAAAACCCCACCTGTGTTCTCTTCCTGTAACTTCCTGGTCTGAAGAATAAATGCAGGAACAGAACCCCAATTCGTGGTTAATTTCCCAAATGGAAGGAATGCCTTGCTCTTGGGGGGTTGGGGAGATTAACCCCTTTTTGGGGCATCTCACTGCTCAGAAGAGATGGGCTTTGAGTAATCTTTGGCGGCTCTGTTACCCAGGTGAAAGGGAGTGACAAATCCGTGGCAGGCAAAGTAACACTCCCTGAAGAAGTGCTGACTGCCGCATGGTGAAGTGTGCCTTAGGGAACATGGTACAGCACACATCTCAGAGTGACTAGGACGTGGGCTCCATATTCTCCAAGGAAGACAGCTCAGAGGCACTAAACATTGTGCACTTCTGTTTATCTCTTTCCCTAATTCCTCTTTGGAAATTTAAAAGGAAAACATGTCCCCTGCATTTTAATAGTCGACCTTAAAGTTAGCAGGATTTTTCTACTTTATCACTTCCAAAATTTACCCAGGGATACAGCTCACTTGCCACTTCTACTTCACAGGGTGCTGGGGATGGAGGTTCATTTCAGTCCCAGAACCAGCAAAGGGAAATGGAGAACACCTGCACCTCACTGAGGGTGAGGAAGTCTGTTCCCAGCGTGCCTGCGGTTCATGATATCCCGCACACCGCCAGCGACAGGAGGGAATGTGCGTAGAGACAGATTGTGTCCCTGGAGGTAATCAGAAAGGTAAAGAAAAATGAATGGCAGTGACTGAGGTTCTAAAATAAAATGAGAAAAGCCCTGGATACAGACTCATAAATACCAAAGACAAAGGAGGATTGAGATTCGCATTTATTAATGATAAAGAAACCACAAAATCGTAAGTGGGTTAGTTCATTCACATATTACTTCAGTGAGTATTTTTGCTTAGTCATACCAACAATTATGTCCACCTAAAACATATGTCCCTGCTTTTTTTTCTTCCCACTCCTGTTCTCTTTTAAACTCCATTCTCTTTTAAATTCCTTTCTCTGTTTTAAACTCCATTCTCTATTTTGTCTCACTTGGAATTCCAGGTGGTGTATCCAGCAGTTACACACAACAAATTACTTTAATAGAGGCTAAATCAAGGCATAATAGAATATAAAAACAAGGCCGATAAAATAACTTCCATAGTCAAGTACAGCCCTGATTTAATGGTAGGGTAAAAACACACGAGCCAGCAGGAGCCAACAGCCATGTGAATACCAGTGAACGGCACACGTGAATGTGCTAACATGCACAGGCACGTCAGGAAACTATGGCTTGTTTTCCATCTCTCCTA